TCTCAGACCTTGCGTTCTTCTACTGATTTAAGGTACAAACAGAATGCCAACCAGAGTGGGAATCTTGCCTTGAGTGTATTAATAAAGAATTATCTGCATAAGTGCTATCAATTAAAAACTTAAAATATTTCCCAGAGGTTCTACGTCGTCATATGAGAAGACAGCAATTTAAGACTGCCCTAAGGGGATGCCTGGGTGGCTCAGTAGGTTAAGTGTCTCCTTCGGCTCAGGTCATGATCCCGGGCTCCTGGGATCAAGTCCCACATCAGGCTCCCTGCTCAGTGAGGAGCCTGCTTCTCCCACTCTCTCTGCCTTCCACTCCCCCTGCTTGTGCTCACTCTCCTCTCTCTCTGACAAATAAATAAATAAAATCTTAATAAATAAGTAAATAACTAACTAACTAACTAAATAAATAAATAAATAAATAAATAAAAACTGCCCTAAGGTCAACATCCTAAGCAAAAGCAACCAATCTGAGAAATAGGGAGTAACATGTACTAAAAGCTCACGGCACGTGGTGGACATGGACAGGCCTGCAGCACCCACAGCCAGTGGGTAATTAGAAGGAAAATTGCTTATCGGAACATGATAGGTGGTAGGTTGCCATTTATGTTCATCAAATTTAAACAGTCGGGTTAATAGAGAAATGGGGTTTCCTGTGCCTTGATATTTGCTACAAGCAACTATTTCTGCATAACTTGGATCGTGTTTTCCTTATAGCTACCTGAGCAGTCAATTCACTACCTACTGTGCCTCACTTATTGTAATGGGGAGCGAAAAGTGGGCCCTGAAACTCCACTGTGAAGACTCTGGAACAATAGGACAGGAGACAAATAGTCTTTGTGGCAAAGAAGTTTCTCAGCCTTTGGTAGACATAACACAGGGAAATCTGAAACTCCTTTGGTCCTCTAGGACTTTGAGTTTATGGCTCAAGAGGAACTACTCTGGGAAGTTAAGGATCCCCAATTTGGGAAGATGTCAGAAGACATGAAGTCGCTTTGAGGACATTTTTCTCAGATTAGCAGGACTGGTTAGATTAGAGCACCAAAGAACTCTCTAACCCACCTGCAACTATCCTCCCTTCAAATAACACCAGTGAGGTCATTGCAACAGGGGTCAAATTTTGAAGGTCAAGGCCAGACAGTATACCCTGCCTGAGGCATATTAGTATCAGAAGAGCAAAAAGGGTGGATTCAATCCAGATCCCTGGGGATATCAGAACCCAAAACCAGGTCAAAGGGGCAAAACTGGGGTCCTTAAACATGTAGTCAAGATTTCAAAGCCGCAAGGAGACTGACTAGATTGGAACAGTTCTGGATCAGAGTGAGAAGGTCCTGAATGAAGTCCCTAAAAGCAGCATTGCTTGTATTCATTGTAGGGTACATGGTTGCCAAGGACTGAACTTTTGTGTCCCCCCCGCCAAATTCGTATGTTGAAAAGCTAACCCCCAAGGTGATGATATGAGAAGGTGGGACCTTTGAGAGGGTGGAGCACTCAGGAATGGGATTCATGTGCTCATGGAAGAGACCCCAGAGAGCTCTCTGGTCCCTTCTACCAGGTGATGACACAAGAGGAGTCAGCCATCTGCAACTCAGAAACAGCCCCTCACCGGAACTCGACCATGGTGGCACCCTGATCTTGGACTTCCAGCCTCCAGAGCTGTAAGTGGTAACTTGTGCTGTTTATAAGCCACCCAGTCTGTGGCACTTTGCTAGAGCAGCCGAGACTGACCAAGACGATGGGCAGGTCAGGATGACTTAAAGGCGTCAGTGCAAGCAAGACAAGCCGTGAGAGCTTAGTCTAGGTCCTATGCTTTTTCTCAGAGCTGAGTAGGATCAGATGATCTGAAGTTTGTCTATTTTTTCAATAAGCATTTATATTTGCTATGTGACAGACACTGTGCTGAGCTCTGGATAAACAATAGTAAATAGGCATAAACCTTGACCTGAAGGAACTTATAATTTAGTGGCAGAGATTAAAAATGGAAAGACAATGGCAATATGGTGTTTTAAATTCCACAATAATGGAAAGTTCTGGGTAGAACTGAAGTATCTGAGAAAGGCAGTCTTGGGAGGGAGATAGAAATTTTACAGAGGAGATACTGTGTAAGCTAATAAATGCACAGAGTACCTAAAGGAGATGGTCAGGTAAACCGGTGGGGAGTGCATTTGAAGAAAAGGGTCAGCGTGCACAGTAGAAGCTTCCTTAACCAGCTGCTCCTCAGCTGATGCTCTGGATTCCTGGATGCTCCATCTCCTCCCTTTGCAAACTTGCTGAAGGCATGTGCAGAGCGGGCTGCTCCACCAGCTGCCCTTGCTCCTCCTTCCCCAGCTTGTCTCGTGCTCCTCAGGGGTCGGTTTCATTTTTCCCAAATCTGTTTATGATTGTTATGCTTGTTATCAAAGCAGGTTACTTTAAGTAAATGTTATTAAAATCAATGAAATATGGGTACAGAGAGTGTAGTTTCTGTGAAAATTAAATGGTAACGTTTGAAAAAACTGGCTAAAGTTTGAGCCACCGAAATATAATGCTATTGAATTAGGTGTAGTGGAGCAGCTGTAAATTACTGGAGAAATAAAACAGTGACATTCCATTAGGATCCTCTAAGCAGAATGTTGCAACAGTTTTAAACTTCTTAATCCTTTTAAAGAAATGAACACTGGAACTTGTAGATGATGCAGTATAGACGGGACTTGCGTGAGAAAGACACTATACGGAACTCCTACCAGGGCCCTAACCTAAGAAGAGGCTTTGGCTTTATATCAAAAAATTAGGGAATAAACGTTCATATGTAAGTTTAAAGTGACATAAAATATTTATGACGCCCAAATATTATTTGTGTGATTCTTTGCTTAGTTGGCTTTTTGATTAACAAACCAACCAGAGACCCCAAACCCAATGGATTGGAGAACTCCTAGGCTCCAAGGTCTAGCTCAAAGAGAGAGCATGAAAGAGAAAATCAAGTAGCTCAGAGTAAGTGCAGGATTGAGTTCCTGCACTAGAGAGCTGGGAGGATGCTAGTGGGTGTGTTGGAATTGAGGGAGACCAGAGCTCTGTCGGGGACCACGGGGTGTGGAGCGAGGCTGAGAGCATGCTAGCAGCACGATTTCAGGGTGGGTTTTGAGATGAGGTAGGCACCACAAAATGAAACCCCCGGGCAACCTAGCCCCTATGCACAGATCCCCTTGCCCACACTGTCCTGGGGACTGGTGAATCCAGGACCCTCTATTCTGAGAACAACCATTTCACTTTGTATTTTTTATAGGTCAGCAGCATTGTAGAGTTGTATGTAAATCGCATGGCCACAAACCAGTGTGAGGCTCATGTTCCTAGTTCTGAGGAGGGTCTTGTGCTGATAAGGAGATGGTGAGCAATGCTTTATGTCCTACAGATGCAGAGTGCTTCACAATATCCCAAATGTTTTCTACTCATCATAACACCTTAAAACACTTGTCTTTCCTCCATTGTTCTCATATTCAGTGTGTTGTTCTCATATTAAGTTTGAGAGACATGAGCTATAATAAAGCACATGGGTTTAGTGTCAGCTCTGAGTTCAAGACCTGCTTCTACCACTTGGCAATTTTCTACTCTTGAAACTTACTTAAGCTCACTCACTTCTGTCTCCTCACATCTGAAGCAGGGAGACTGATGCCCACTAGGCAGTGTTAAGGAGCAGTCTTAATTATTACCAAGACGACATTCTATCATTCATCAACCACTCTGTGCCAGCACTCTTCTAAAAACTATATGTTTACTATCCAGGAACTGTTACCACAATATAATAAAGTACTATCCCCATTTTACAGATCTGGAAACCAAGACTTATGCTGTTAAATGACTCAGTCGAGGGCACAAGCCAATAAGTTATAAGAGACAAAAGTCAAAGCAACTGTCTTTAAGAATGTAACCTCTTCACTACATGAGAAAACTGGCTCACATGCATCCAAAATGCCCCTGGTTGTGATTTCCTGTGAAGTCCCCTCCTCTGCGGACATCCCTCCTGTGTGGATGTTCACCCCTGCAGACATTCCCTTTGCTTTCTTTCATCTTGCTCTGTGTACAGGAGGTGACCAGAACCCCAATCCCTTGCCCTCCGAGAAGACAGAAATATCTATGATGGCCCCAAAATGCAGGCAGTGCACAGAAATACTAAGGCAACATAGGATCCAAAGAGAACGCGTGGTTAAAGAACACACTGATGAAGCTTAAAGTCAAGCTCATTGCCTTAGTGATTCTGTGATGTCCATGGCCACAGGCTGAATTTCTCCAGTACCAGGCTTCTGGTAGATTCTATATGGCCATTTGGCTTATGTTTCTCAGAAAGTGTCGAACTCCAAAAAATACGAGCAGAACAACATGAAGGAAATGAGTTTGCTCATGTTCATCCAGCATGCTTCCTCAGTATAAATTGTTAATCTGATTCCCGGGCTAGGCCAGCCTCCTGAAAAGTAATTCTCAGAATAAGGCAAATAGTCCTTGACTGCTCAGTCTCAGGCCCCATTGGTGCACTAGCTCATTTAAACTTCATAATCGCCATGTGAGGTAGACATCACCATCATCCCTACTTTGTAAATGAAAAGGCAGACACTGAGGGCAAATAGTGACTTCCCAGCCAGTACTAGGATGCAAACTTCTATCCCAGGTCCTCTCACTACCCTTATCTATTCCTTCCCCTTCCCCAACCCTACACGACCCTTAGGAGATCACATCATTAAGCTCAGTGGAATAATTGAGTCTTTAAAATACATAATTATTGGGGCACCTGGGTGGCTCAGTTGGTTAAGCAACTACCTTCAGCTCAGGTCATGATCCTGGAGTCCCGGGATGGAGTCCCACATTGGGCTTCCTGCTCCTCAGGGAGTCTGCTTCTCCCTCTGACCCTCTGTTCTCTCATGCTCTCTCTCTCTCTCATTATCTCTCTCTCTCTCTCAAATAAATAAAAATCTTAAAAAAATTTAAATACATAATTATTAATCAATACAGTATAAAATGATATGGGGTTTTTTTCTTTGCTCACATTTAATTTTTATTTTGATTTTTTTAATGCTGCACAAGACAATATTTATTTCATTTATTCCTTTTCTTTTCTTTCATTTCTTTCTTTTATTTCATTATTTCTGTTTGCTGCTGTTATTTTATTTACTGAAAGAGAGAGGGAACTTTTGTGGCCTTTTTTTTTCTCTGTAGGCCGCCTTAAGCTTTCTAAATTTGGAATATTTAAGCAAGCTGAAGGGGAAAGGGGGACTTCGCAAGATCACTTGGGGGGAAAAGGAGAGGTTGCCTTGTTAATCATGCCCTATGGTGGGTGATCAACTGCGTGTACAATTACGCTTCACTCTGAATTGTGCTCAAGACTTTACTTAAATTTGGGTGTCCCCTTCTCAGAGCAGCTCTTACTGACGAAGGTGCATGCGCTGGATGATGTCCCGGCAGTCGTTGAACACGCGGCGGATGTTCTCGGTGTCCACGGCGCAAGTGAAGTGTGGGTAGCAGTAATGCCGCCCGTCCCCACTGGCGGTGCTGATTCTCAGAAATTCGTCGCGGATGAAGTACTTGGCCCGGATCACGCGGGGGTCCTCTCCGGGCTCGGGAGTAGCATCCTCAGGAGTAGTGTAGCGAGCAAATTCTGGAAAGTAGTCCTCAATCTTCGATTTTCCAGCAAGGACTTTCTCAGCGAGCAGGTCTTGCTTGTTGAGGAACAGAATCACAGAGATGGTGCGCAGCCATCTGTTGTTCCAGATGCTCTTGAAGAGGTTCAGAGCCTCCTGCAGGCGGTTGGTCTGGTTGTCCTCCCGAATGACCATGTTGTAGCTGCTCCTGGCCACCACGAAGATAATGGCAGTCACATCATTGAAGCATTGGATCCATTTGCGGCGTTCATCGCGCTGGCCACCCACGTCAAACACGTGGAAGTTGACTTTGTCCACCTGGAACTTGGTCTCAAAGATTCCAGAAGTCAGGACGCGGCAGCGAAGCAGATCCTGATCGCTGGGCACATAGTCAGCCTGCTTGATGACATCAATCTTGTCCAGGAAGTACTGGGCGCCGTCGATCAGCGGGTACTCGTTGGAACGCTCATAGCAGGCACGCACCCCTTCATCCTCCCACAGAGCCTTGGCATGCTCATAGAACTCAGGAGGGAAATCAAAGTCAGGCACGTTCATCACGCTCAGAATGTGGTCCGCTCTGAACTGGTTCTCGGGGTTGGCCAGCTCCACAGGGGCACCAGGTTGCTCATGGCGGCCACGATGGTTTCGATCGCCTCTTTCAGGTTGTTTTTGATGTCCTGCACTTTGGCCGCCTTCTCACTATCTCCCTTAAACCCATTAACACGCAGGATCCTCATCTGCTTCACAATGGTGCTTTTACCAGATTCTCCGGCACCCAGCAGCAGCAGGCGGTGCGTGGCCCGGTAGACTTGCTTGTCCTTCTGCAGCTGCTTCTCGATCTTTTTGTTGGCCTCGCGCTGCGCCTTCTCCTCGTTGCGCTGGTCCTCGGTCTTACTGTTTCCGAGGCAGCCCATGGCGGCGGCGGCGGCGGCGGCGGCGGCGGCGGGGCCGGGCGCGGGCGGCCTCACGCGGGCCGGGCGGGCCGGGGCAGCGCCGGGCGGGCGAGCCGGGCGCGGGCTCGGCTCCTCCGGGAGGAGCGCGCGGGGCGGACTGCGGGCCGCGAGGCGCGCGGGGAAGGGAGGTTGGCGGTCGGACCGAGGGGAGCGCGTAGCTCCCCGCCCCTCGAGCCCAGGCCGAGGGGGCTGATGGCCGCCGCCGGGCCGAGGCGGACCAGAGAAGGAGCTGCGGGAGCTGCTCGATATGGGGGGTTTTAAAAACTCTACTCCCTGGAGTTAGATACTGTTACAGTTTGAATTGCAGCTTTACAGACATATAAATCTATCTAATTATCTGTTTGCCTCTGTAATAATACTTTACGATTCGCTCTTTGAAACAACACAGTCCCAAATGAAACAAAGTTATACAAGCCATAAGAAGTTAAGCATTGCAAAGACTCATGAAATAGCCATGAGCCCTCAACATAAGTCTCTGAACAAAAAATCCCCCACAAACTAAACACCATAGAAACAAAAACATGTCAATGGGCCCAACCTGGCAGTCCCAGTGAGCCTTGGCCTGGCCATTGTCTGAGCAGCTCCCAGACTATAACACACAGTGTTGTACAATTGGTGTTTTTCCACAGTAGAGCCTCACTTCAAGAGTCTAAGAATTCTGAAGTGTAGCTAACTCAGTGCAAATAAAAGAAAAAAAAGAAACAAAGAAAGCTCAAACTAAATTTTATCAGCTGCCAATGGCATGATGTCATGACTTATGTAGTGTTTGGTTCTCAGTGATGTCACTGCAAGTGTGAATTTAATGTAGTGACAATGTCTATCAAGAATGAGTAGAAGAGCCTTGAGGACATTATGCAGTGTGAAATAAGCCAGTCACACAAAAGAATAATACTGTATGATATGAGGTACCTAGAGTAGACAAATGCACAGATACAGAAGGTAGAATGGTGGTCACCAGGGGCTGAAGGGAAGGAGGAATGGGGAGTTGTTGCTTAATAGGTATGCAGTTGAGATCTTGCCATTTGCAACGACGTGAATGGAACTGGAGGGTGTTATGTTGAGGGAAATAAGTCAGTCAGAGAAAGACCTGTATCATATGACCTCACTGATATGAGGAATTCTTAATCTCAGGAAACAAACTGAGGGTTGCTGGAGTGGGGGGTGGGGTGGGAGGGATGGGGTGACTGGGTGATAGACACTGGGGAGGGTATGTGCTCTGGTAAGTGCTGTGAATTGTGCGAGACGGTTGAATCTCAGATCTGTACCTATGAAACAAATAATACAACATATGCAAAAAAAAAAAGAAGAAGAAGAAGAAGAAGAAGAAGAAGATAGCAGGAGGGGAAGAATGAAGCGGGGGAAATCGGAGGGGTAGACGAGCCATGAGAGACGATGGACTCTGAAAAACAAACAGGGTTCTAGAGGGGAGGGGGGTGGGAGGATGGGTTAGCCTGGTGATGGGTATTGAGGAGGGCACATTCTGCATGGAGCACTGGGTGTTATGCACAAACGATGAATCATGGAACACTTCATCTAAAATTAATGATGTAATGTATGGGGATTAACATAAGAATAAAAAATTTTAAAAAAATAGGTATGCGGTGTTAGTTTCTGCAAGATGCAAAGTTTGGGAGATTTTATGCACAACCATGTGAGTGTGCTTTACACTGCTGTTCTCACACATAACAATGGTTACGATGGTAAGTTTTACGTTATGTAGGTTTTACCACAAAGGTTTTGTTTTTAAAACAAAAAAGAATGAGCGGAAGATGAATATCCTTCATATGCTATGCGTCCCTGTATTTTCACTGTCCCATAATTAAGATCACTAGATAGCCCTGTATGCTTAGGACAGTCTCAGTTCACTCTTATTGTCCTTGTACAATTACTCACGGTGTCCTTTTCACTCTTCAAAGTGTCATGGGTGATAATCATTATGCTCATCTTATCCAGAATGCCTTTGGTAGCAAAGAACAACCAGAGAACTTAAAGCTAGTGAGCACCTCGTGCAAATCAGTAGCATCCGCATTCATTCATTTACTCCTTCATTCATTCACACCAGAAGGACCTCTGTGTACCTTGTACCTGTTACCACTCTGGGCCCTACATTTGTGTTCAGGTGACTATCTTCCGAGATAACCTATGGGTTCCTCAAGGGCAGGACTGATATCTAATTCATCTAGTGTCCCCAGATCCCCAGCCCAGGGCCTGACACATATCAGGTTCCCAGCAGATGTCTGCTGAATTGCAAAATGTCCTGGTTCCAGTGAAAGAGGACTGGCCCTCATTAGTGTTGAACCCTCAGAACGGCCTTTCCCCTCTGCCCTCTGGGATGGCCCCTTGGATGGGCAGACAGGGAGAGCAAGGGCCTCAGCTAAATTTCTCTCTCACGGGTTACCCACTTCCAAGTGCCTTGTATGGTCTTTATCTTTCCTGATGATGCTGTCTATGTTTTATTTTTTAAACAAACTTAGAAACATTTCCATCAGTCCTGAAACAGATGCTCACAGTAAGCCAAAAAATGCTTGATAAAGCTTGTCCATGAGCCCCTAATATAAGTTACTCATTTAAATATCAGAGCTTTGAAACTCTGGTGCAATGGCTCAGCCAGCTGGGCTAATTAGCTCAGTTCAGTGGCAGGTTTTGCAAATCTGGTCTTGGTTTCCTCTTTCCAAGGCACGAATGGAGCATGCCCTCAAGATGAGATTCAGGGAGTCACCTCCTCAGAGGCTGCACATCTGTCTCCAAGTGGGGGTTGAATTACATCCTTGCTTGAGTATTGTTTGGCTCTCCTCTGATCTCTAATGACCTGTGGTCACTTAGGAACTCAGGGATGGCATCTCTATCTTCCAAGTTGCTTAAGATCTCTGATTCCAGGAAAGCATGGAGCTTAGCATGCTCCAATCCTCTGCTCACTTCCTCCTCCCCCTCCTCCTCTTCAGCACACTAGATTTGGGGGCTCAAGACCCCAGGGCAATGAGAGGAGAGGCCTAGAGAGGAGCGCTAAGTTAATGTTAATGAACCAGCAGGTTCAGATAGGAATGTCTTTTAGGGATTTCAGAATTGTTTTGATAAATTAAGCCCAACATCTGGATGGCATTTGGATTAAGAACCATCAAGAGCTACCTATTTATCCCTTGGCCAATCTTGCCCAGAGTGCATCCTTTTTATTAGTCTTTTCAAAACAACTTTGATTTTATTTATCCTCTCTAGTGTATTTTTTTCTTATTTTATTACTTTCTGTTCTCATCTTATGTTCTTCCTTCTATAAATGTAGTTAATGTCTTAATACACATCTTAGTTGTTAATTGATAACTTTCTGGGGAACTTTTCTTTTTCCTGCTGATTGTCAGATTCATTAGGGTTCTTCTTTTGACACAGTGCCATGATGTGTCCTGTGTGTAATTGGCTAATGACTAAATGAGACAATTATCTGTCAAGGGGGTTCTATTTAAGGAAGGAGACAAGAAAGTACATGGCAAGTGTTCAGTTAATAACACAGTAAAAGTGACTCTAAGATTTCAGAGGAATGCTTATACAGTTCAGTGACAGTTCCAAGGAGGAGGGGGTACCAAAAAGTCAGTCCCTGTAGGACAGGCTGAATCTGAACGGACTCAGAGGAGTTGGAGGGAAGGCCGGCAGAGGCACCTTCAAAGCCCACCATGATCCAGAGGAACACCTCTCCCAAGGTGAGGAGACCGTGAGGCAAATGGCCTGGGGAAGGAGCCAAGACCACAGTGCCGAGGACCCAGTTTTGGGCATAGGGCATGCTGACCCCCAAGAGCGGTGTGTGCATGCAGTGAGGCATCCTGGAACCCTCAGATCAGCAGCACCATGAGCAGAGTGAGGTTAGAGAGAGACAGCTTGACGTGGAGACACTGGAAACAGGGGGAACAGCAGGGAAGGAACTGTGGGCAAGATCACGAGTAAGATGACAATGGGAGGATGTGGACTGGGTGACTTTCCACCTGAGCTTCTAGACGCGGGAGGGGTAGGGAGTGCAAGCATGTTTCATGTATGCAGCTCATCTGGTTCAGACACAGATGGGTGCGTTTAACAAAGAATCTTCATGACAAAGTTATGAGTCCAACCTTAGACAGGAGACAACGGTGAGGCCACACAGCGAGTGGCACCCAGGGGGGCTACATCCTAGGCTTCTACCACATCCCACCTCCTTTCCAGACCTTCACCCAGGTCGCTTTTGATCCTATCCCCTTACTTCCTCCAGAACACTTATCATGAGCTGCAATTCTTTTCTTTGCCCACTAGCTTGTTGTCTCTCTGTCTCCACTACAATATGGCTAACCAAGAGCTCTCCTCTGAACCCCCAGCCCCGATGACATAATAATACCCCTGGCATAGAAGGGGCTGCATGCATGTTGGTTGAAATGAAACAACATGCCTTCACCCCGGCATATTCATCTGTCACTTAGGAGCCAGGGTGTCACTCTCAAGGGAAGCTGCAGTGGGGTAGAGGCCTGGACCATTCTACAATCAGCCCTACATGGATTCCAACACAGCAGCTCCAGGGGCCCCAGCTCCTACCTGGAAAAGTGGGAATCCTAACTTACAAGGCTATTGTGACAATAAGACAAAGCATATGAAGTGCCAGGCCCGGCACAGATGGTCAGTGAACAATTGCTACTATGACCATACCTGATGACCTCACAAGGTGCTTTGTCTGTTTTGTTGTTTTGTTCTTTTTATTCAATTTTTCTAAAAGGAAAGTGACCCGGGTCACTCAGGACATCGGGGCTGATGACCTCAGGGATACTAGAGGTGGAAGGGAGTGGAAGGGGCCTGGGTTCCCTGAAGCCCCTGGCTGAGAGGAATTACTCCTCCTGCCTTGGGAGAACTTTGTCCAAGGCTGCAGGAAACACTCCTGTGGCACCCCAGCTCTCCCAGGCAGGGGGTGAGGAGTTTTAAGGTTATAAAGGAGTAGGTTTAGACCTTGGAGAGGTTCTTATGTTTTTCAGACCTGCTCCGATAGTATGAGTCAAAATTTCCCATTAAGAGCTTAATAGTCTTTACTTAGGAGAGAATATGTAGGAAAAGGAGAATTTGTGTCTCATACCTACTTAACAAGATCCCTAACTTCCTAAAATTTTACCCCCACCCTCAGCCTCTAGGAAACACTCTCTCTTCTTGATTCTGCAGTTTCATTTTTCCCTCGGTGTCCTCCCCCTCCTCTGGGGTCTGTCTCAGGCTCTTTGTGGGTCCACCTTCC